GCCATAAAAAGGAATGGCTTTCTGGTCCATACTACACCATGGGTGAACCTCACGAACATTATGCTCAGCGAAATAAGCTGGACACAGAAGGACGGATACTGTAAGATTCCACTTATGTGAGGACCTACAAGAGTCAACTTCACAGAAACAAAGCAGGAGGTGGGTGCCAGGGGCTGAGGAGAAGGGAGTTCAAGTTTAAAAGGGACAGAGCTTCAGTTTGGGAAGATGAAAAGATCTGGAGATGGATGGTGGTGATGGTTGCACATTTGTGAATGTATTTAATGCCACTGAACTGTTGTTCACTTCAAAATGGTCAATTTTATGTTGTCTGTATTTTACCTCAAGAACAAAAATGGAGTACATTTGCTTTTCAAGGACACATATGTAATACCTTAATCAATAAAGAAACAGAAAAAGAAAACAAGAACAAACTACATTTCTTCCTGTTCTTGGTCTCTTTCCTGTCATTTGACTGTAGAAATTGGCCCTTAGTAGAGAACCGTGTGGGTGTGAGGCCTGGCCCCAGGGGCACGGAGCTCCACAAAACTGTTTAAGAAACACAATAAATCTGAATGCTCTTGAAAGCTTCACAGTTTGTTTTCCCAGAACTGAGAGCCTAGGATGTTAGCACACTCAGAACAAGATGCTCCAAGACAGGGGAGGCCCTGGAGGCCCATCAATCCCAGCTGTTGCTGGCAGTGCGACTCCAGCAGTGACTGTGAGAAACACTACGCACTAGGGTGTCACTCCCTAGCAGGGGACACTCTCGGCCACCGCCCACCACACAGAAGAGGTCACTTGTAGTGGTCCCTCCACAGTTCCTCCCACAAACCCCACGGGACCCTTCCGTCTCAGTTGGAATCACCATGGGATTTGGAGAAGGCTCACCTTGCACATGATCCACCAAATGTTTTCAGAGAAAGCAGCAGAACAAGGAACGCAGCAAGAGAAGTTAAGCAGGAGTGTTCAGTGTGGAGAGGCATCAACTAAAAGCACGAATTTGGAGAATTTTGTGGCTCCCTCAAAATTACACAGCTTCTTGGACTGCACCCCCCAGTTGCATCACCAGCCTTCAAAGGGGGGTGGGGAGGATAAAAGGAAAAGGGGCTACAGAGTGGGAAAGTTTTAGCAAAGAAGGAAGGTTTGAAAAGCTGAGGGTCTGAGAGAGGAGGCTGGGGACTCACATGGTGCCTCCAGGGGGCTGGCCGGCTCTCTGGGCCCAGGAGCCCTTTCAAACGCCTCAAAATGGGTGAGGTGCCTGGAAGGCCTGGCCTTCAGATCCCAGCCGAGGGCCAGCCAGGTCCTCTCCAGGTACACAATCATTTCCTCAACACCCGCACCTGTGCCGGCTCCAAAGGGCACGAGGGGCTCTGAGTTTCAGGACCTCATCACGGGAAGACCTGACCCCAGGGTGGAAAGGAGGGCACGCCAATGGAAAGTGGAGTGGAAATGTCCACCGGAAAACACCACTCTAGCGATTGAAACGTCATGCTGTCTTGTTGACTGTGTTTTTAATGTGACAGCTGGTAAATGTGCTCGCACTCCGAGGCCCCGCAGCAGGGGCTCGCCAGGTGCCCAGAGGCTGTAGGTGCAGTGAGAAGAGAGCAGGAGAGTTGGAATGATCTCAATGGAGTTGCCCAGTGACCTTCCCGATTAAAATTCACACCCTTTAGTGAGACAGATTTTCTGTCCCTGCCATGAGCTACGGTGTTCTCTTAAGACTGGGATGAGCAGGGAGCAAGGAGCTCACGTGGGAGAGAGATCACGTGGGAGGGGAGTGCTTCCCAACTAAATGGGGACAAAGTGGCACTTGCTCTGCAGAGACAGGCAGCTAGACTCAGGGCAGAGAAATGCTCCAGGACCGCCGGCGGGTTCCCAGGCCCCTGGCCCAAGGAGGGGTCAGAGTCAAGTGGCACTTGCACCTAGGAGTTTGGTGAACAGGGACTGCTGACAAGTAACCGATGGAATAGAAGTAACAGAAATAAGAAGGAGGAATGAAAGTTGTAAGAATGGAATTCATGGGCCTAACTGGTTTGGCTCAGTGAATAGAGCATCAGCCTGTGGACTGAAGGGTTCCAGGTTTGTTTCTGGTCAAGGGCATGTACCTTGGTTGTGGGCACATCCCCAGTAGGGGGTGTGCAGGAGGCAGCTGATCGATGTTTCTCTCTCATTGATGTTTCTAACTCTCTATCCCTCTCCCTTCCTCTCTGAAAAAATCAGATCCCAGCCGAGGGCCAGTGATATATATATAATGGAATTCATGCCTCCAGGTCTGTTTCCCAAAAGTGATTGGTTAGAAAGTTATTGCTCTACTTAAATATGATCTTTCCTTAAGAAGAAGAAGAAAAAAACAAACCTGACTAAATCCCCTAATCTGGGGGAGCATGCTTGAGGAAAGACTAGCTGGGGATGTCGCCCCCCCCATCCCCCCAGCCCAAGGCCAGCCTGGGTTACCCAGGGATGGTCTCCAGAATGAAGAAGGACTGAGCCAGGCCTAGGGAGCAGTGTTCTCAAACGTTGGGGTGCACCAAAAATCTCAGAGTGGGGGCAGCCTCAGCCCCAAAGACCCTGCTTCTAATCTGCATTTAGAAGAAGATCCCAGGTGATTCTGAAGCAGCTGTCTGGGACCACTAATGGAGAGAGAAACTCTGCCCATGGTTCTCGGTACCGACCAATCTTGTTCAGATGCAGCAGCTTGCTGCTCCAGCCCCGTGAGGAGGTGAGAATGGAGAGGAGGATTAGATGCAGCCACGTGGCACTGCCAGAGCAGCCACCCCTCCAGGGTACCAAGCCGTTCAGGAAGCACGGGGTCAGGAGCATGTGGCCCGAGCTGCCCACAGTTTCTGTCTGTCATCTGTAACCCAGTGGGGCATATGGTCTGAATGCTTTCATCACCAGGTAATGTTAACTACACCTTATTAAGACACTTGGCGAAAAAGTATCATCTCCGGGGAGTGGAGATGAAGTAAACACAGCTGACTGTAACTTGGATGAACTGGAAAAGGCATAGCCTGTGCTTGCTGAACCCACTTTATAAGCCCCTGATTCCCATGCACATTTCTCTGAGAGTGTTCTGTCTACTGTGCGTGTTTTTATAACAAAATATAGAGATCACGTAGGCTGATACTTGCCCCAACCGGGAGGGTGACTGCTCATCAGATAAGCAAGAAACACTCTCACTTGTCACATTAACAATATTAAATACTGACACAACCGTGTGTGTTTATTGTATCATATAAAAGTTTTATTTTGCAAGGGATTGAAAACTAAAAACAAAAAAAAACAAAAAATGAAACTTTACCACGGATAGTTCAAGGAACACTGCTGTAAATGCAGTTCCGCAGGCGGGATGAGAAAAGGATGTGAGTGTGTGTGGGTGTGTGTGAGACAGAGAGAGGTGGGGGGCATGGCGAGAAGTCAAACGCAAGGGGAAGGGGATAAAACTGTTCCTTTTTCAACAATAAAAACACTATTGTGTTGGGTGAGTACATATTGCATAGTTTCCATGATAAACAAAAACATTTGTTTCCATTCGGGTCGAAATGAGAGCAAACCTCTTCCCTTTCCGGAGCCAGACCTCCTGCCTGGCCAGGGAGCTCCAGGCCAGCACTCAGGGCGGCTCTCAACCCCATCAGCCCACCTGAGACCCTCCGCCCTCACAGTGCCAAAGCCAACAGACCCCGAAGCCCGCTCCCTCCCTCCTCGCCCTCTGCTGCACACCGTGTGCATGGAAACCTCGGCTCACAGAGACCCCAACCAGAGGGCTGGTTCCCTGAGACCCCAGCACCAAAGGGCCTCGCTTCCCCTCCGAGGCAAAGGCCATTCTCTTCTCTCTGGAATCAAACGTTGGTGTTCATTTTCTTCTGCCACAAAGTGACGGCCAGGAGTCCTGCTTCCCGCAGGGAGCGCCGATGCAGAGGGAGGCATTCATGTTTATGAGGAGAGGGGTCCTTCACGAACTTCATTCGTGCGAGACAGTGCAAGGGAGTGATGAGCGGCCTAGCAGGTGACCGCGGGCCTTCAGACGCCGCTCAGGAGCCACGGAACTTAGAGCTGCCGGGACTTGGCTTGTTCTCCGCCTCACATGTCACCGCACAGAGCCGGCCGAGGTGCCGACCTAGGAAAATGTGTGCAAACAACACAAGCAGGCTGTTCCCCTTGGCCTGGATCTGAAAGGGTGGGCAAGGCACAGACAAATAGTGTGGGGTTTGTCACTGTGAAAGTGGCTCCCCGGGAGGATGGACTGCACCGGGAGGACAGACGGAGGGGCAAGGAACTCCCTAAAACACAGCCCACAGCGTCCACGGGGCCCTCACAACTAATACGAGGTCTCTCTCACACACTCCAACACAAACCGCACTGCCTAACAAAACAACTGCTGAGTTTATTGTTTCATTCCAAAGGAAAGGAGACTCTTGGCTAGCTAGGCCAGCGGTCCCACAGGACACACTGGAGAGACCACCTTCCCCCGTCCCACAGCACACACACCTCACACACTCGCCTGTTTACTCTCACCTATCCACACTCACCTGCTCACTTAGGCATGTGTGCTCATATGTGTGTAAACACACATACACACAACTATGTACACATGTGCACGTCTTTACCCGACAACCATTTGCAGCAAGAACAGCTGGGAACATCTGTTCTGACGATGAGCACTTTCTCGAGAGCAATTGCATGATGGCATTTGTGCTGTTTCAGTGGGAGGGCCCTCCAACAGCAAAAAGCTCTGTGTCCACCTCCCTCATATCGCCTTCCAAGGAATGACTGTCAGAGGCCAGGATCGTCTTTCCAAACAAGGAATCGAGCGAGGACAGGACAGAAGGACATGCACACCACAACAGTGGACGCATGGTGGAGAAGGCATTCGTTGACCTCACTCTTTGGGAGCCACAGTGTCTCAGAGACCATCATTAGCATAGTGACAATGTCTCCTCTTTAAAACCACGCAGAGGTCAGTCACCTCTCCTGAGCGAGCATTTGAAAGGCCGTCGTGGCTACTTCTCCGCCTCCCGCAGTTCCCTCAGCGCAGCTCGGAGGAGGCGCTGAAGCCTCCAGAACATGGTGGAGGCAGCTCTCTGGGGGCCACCTGGATCTGCACACTCCTGCACGGCCTCCCGCAGCTGCCGCTGGAGCTGGAAGGAAATGGCAGGGCTCTGGAGAGTCGAGGAGAACCAGTGTCGGAATATTTTGTCACAGACCACCTGAGGGGAAGGACAGGGAGACATTAATTCGGGGAGTGCATCCCCTCGAGAGCCCAGAGCCCACAAGTGGTTCTTTCATACACCTGAGCTCTGCTCCCACTTCCCCAGGGGCCTTCGGGGAGGGTCCTGCAGACCCCAGTAGGTACCTTCCCTTCTGGAAACTAAGCACTCAGCTCCATGAATAAACTTTGCATCAGGGAGAAGGCTACCTCATATTAGGTAGAAATTTCCACTTCTGGCCTTACAGCAGATGAGGAAGTTCTGGGTGACACTTCACAAAGGACTGAGTACATTTCCAAAGATGAAGGGAGCAGGAAGTCACAGGCAGTAACTGCTGGGTAAGGAGCAGTCCCATGGAGGACCTGAGAATAGTGGCCCTCCCCCCATCACCACATTGCTGAGGTTGGGCATTCTTAGCCACACATTGGTCACAGTAACAGCGATAAATAGGACAGGGCATCCTGAGGGTTCAATGACATGTTGGTGAGAGTAGTATGCACATGTGATAGCACTTTGAGGCTCAGGGGGAAAAGGTGGTAAGCCTCTTTTTAGGAGCCTTCGAGATGGTTTAGTTTAAGCCATTATCTTACAGCCATTCATTCTAAGCAGATATGGAATTCACTCAAGCTGGTGCTCTCTTTACATTCTTAGTTTACACCTTCTGTGTGTAGCAGAACTATCTGTTTCCTCTCTATTGTGAGAACTGGACTAGATGCGGCATAATTAACACATCTTCCTTTTTCTATATCGGCTTTATATTAGCATCATTTAACAAATGCCTCCATTTTATGGAGCTGCTGTCTCACAGAAACAAATAACTTTAATTTCTGTCCCCCAGTGCCTACAAGGGTAGGGATTTAAAAAAAAAAAAAATTCTCCTGTTTCCTTTTTTGAGTTGACAATACATTTTCATGTGCAAAAATGTACACTGCCCCAAAAGGCAGACTGCACTCTTAATCTCCATCTTGTCCTGACAACCAGCCACTGAGCTCCGGCTCTGAGAGACCACCCCCTCCTCGACTCTCCTTCTCGAGAGCGTCTGTGCACATACACACACTCACACATACACACACACATGCGCGTGCGCGCGCCTGTATGTGCAAGTCTTTCTCCTTTACTTTCTATAAGTGATGGTATATAATGCCCACTGTCTTACAGCTTCCATTCCCGCTTAACCAAATATCAGGGAGAGCCTTCCAAATCAGTTCTCATAAGGACATCCCATTAGTTTCAATGGCTAGCCCTCAAATGTGTGGATGTATCATAAATTACTGAAATAGTTCAATGTAGAACTATTTGGTGGAAATGTAGGTTGTTTACTAACTTGTTATTATGAATAATGTAGCAAATGTAGGTTGGAAATGTAGGTTGTTTACTAACTTGCTATTATGAATAATATTGAAATAAATACCTTGCATATATGTCACTTTTGTGAGTGACTAAATTTCTAGAAATGAAATTTCTGGGCCAAAGTGTATGCGCATTTTTTTCTTTTGATACGTCTTGCCAAACTGATCTCCATAAAAGTTGTACTAAGTTACACACTCACAGCATTGTACAAAAAGAATGCTCCTGTGCCCCAGACCCTCGCCAGCATGTGTGTTATCTTTCATTTTTGCCAGCTGATGGGTGAGAAGGTTTAATTTGCATTTCCTATCAGTCAGGTTGAAAGTTATTTCCAGTGAATGATCAAGTTAATATTCTTTGACCACATTTCCACAAGGTATTGAAGTTTTTTATATTAATTTGTAGATGTTCTTTATATCACAAGGACCATAGCCCCTTGCTTAGGTTGGTTTCTTGGGGAGCAGACTCTAAGAGGGAGGTTTGCACCTGGAGATTTATTGAGGGCCATCCTTGGGGACCACACTTCCACACTGTGCTTTGCAAATGCCCCACCCCCAATCACAGGACTCTACCCCAGGGATGTGAACAAGAAGCTCTGCTGGGCAGGGCAACCCTGGGGATACTCTCGGAGCTTCAGAGGCTAAGGGATAAGGGACTTGCCTCAATAAATCTATAAGAGTCCTTTATATATGAGGTGGGACAAAAGTAGGTTTACAGTTGTGAGTACACAACACATAGAATTTATTCTTGCATTATTATTTATTAGTAATTATATATTTTCAATAGGAACAACTATAAACCTACTTTTGCCCACCCTGTATTAGGGATGGGAACCTTTGTCTCTCATTATGGGCAAAGGGCAGGTGGTTGTTGTTGTAGTGTCAATCATCTTGTTCCTGCCACTCAGTGGTCAGCAAACTGAGGCTCGAGAGCCATATGTGGCTCTTTGTCCCCTTGAGTGTGTCTCTCCCACAAAATACCATGACCTGGGTGAGTCTATGTTGAAGAAGTGGCGTTAGAAGAAATTTAAGTTTAAAAAATTTGGCTCTCAAAAAAAATTTTAATAGTTGTACTGTTGATATTTGGCTCTGTTGACTAATGAGTTTGCTGACCACTGCCACCACTGAAGCAGAGGCTTTCCCTGCAGACCCACCTAGGGTGTGCGTGCACAGAAAGTTAGAGGCTGGGACGGAGAAGAGGCCTCTGAAGGCCCCATCACTGCTGCATGCTTCCCACCCAGAGCTTTTGTCCGGCCTGGTCCAGGAATTCCGGATTCACACCACTGCCAGGTCTCCCGGGAACAGTCCTCCTTTGTTGCATGATGCAGCAGCAAGCTCTGGCCTGCTCTGGCCCAAGCCCACATGGCCAGGTCTGCATACTGCATATGGGCACACTGGCCTTTGGGTTGGAGGAGGGTAGGAAAGAACAGCTACAGAAAAGTGAGTGGGGTAGTGGGTTAGATAAGTGAATAAGAAAGCAGGAAAGAGGAGGTGAGGCAAGGGCACAATCATGACTGACCACAGGCAGCCAGGTGGTGGGCCCAGCTTCTCAGCCATGGGCTCTTCTGGTTGCAGCCAACACCTATGAAATCAGGCTCATCCATGCCCACCTGAGAGCCTCAGGGGAGGGGTGAGGGCAGATAACTTCTGCCCAAAGAAGAGAGAGAAGTGGGGTCTGGAGCCCCACTCTTGGGGCCTCCCTAGACCCTATCTGAGAGCCTGGACCCAGCATCCTTCCTACATATCGCTGATTCCTGAACTTGAGACACATTCTCTCTTCTTCTATTGCCCACCTGCTGGCCCTAACCCATGCCTGTTGGGATTGTGTCATCTGTCCAACCACTCTAATTTGGCCAGTTTTTCAGAATGACTTTGGATTCTTTTTCTTCTTAGTACTCATTCTGAGTGTGTGTGTGTGTGTGTGTGTGTGTGTGTGTGTCTGTGTGTATGTGTGTGTGGCAGTCTAGGGGTGTGAGGTGGGGGGAGAGGGGTGGGGAACCAGGCTAACTTTGCTGGGAGCTGTATTCGTTGGACCTTATGGGGCAGACCACAAAGAATGAATGACCACCACCTCGCATAATCCCCACCCTCCCAGCTCACATCAGGCCCAGGTGGCACAGGGTAGGGAGCTCCAGAGCGTAGTCTCGCAGCTGCTTACCTGCAGGTTGTTGTTGACTCTCTGCGCACCACACTTGTGGACTCTGAGATTGCACTTTGAGAAACAGTCAAAGAAATTGCAGTCTTCATCTCCCGTGCAATTCTGCTCGAGAATTTCCCTCATTTTAGGTTCAAAAAAAGCCATGTCCACATCGATAGCCACGACCTGTAACCAAACAGCACAGGGTAACTAAGGGGGCACTGGGCTCAGCACAGAGGGAGCCTGGGCAGCGACTCCATCTTGGTCTTCCCAAGCCAGGGTCACAGGGGACAGGTCACAGAGCTCTGCAGCCAGCAGAGCCCAGGCCATGCAATTGGAATAGGTCCTATCGCAAGGCTTTCCCTTTGAGAAGGACCTTTGCTGTCCCTAGCGAAAGCCTAGGATTTGGGACTGTACAGAGAAATATCCCTTTTCATCCTTAAACTTTCTCAGCTTTAAAAGTAACATCTTCAGGAGGGAAGATGGCGGAAGAATAGATGGGCGAATTCTGAGCCCTCTCCCGAAGCAGAAAGAGAGAGCAACTGATGGTCTTGAGCTGTGAGTGTTTATTAGCAAGCTGGGAGACAGCGAACACCAGAAGAAACTGCTGGGGGGCGGCTGACAGAGGTACCCCTCACAGGGAAGCACCCACGCGGGCTGCGTCCCTGCCCGGAGCTACCTGCCGGCTTGGATAGGGAAACCTCGCCATCTTGAGAGGAAGATAGGATCGTGTCAGAGGCCTGAATATCAACAGCCGCAGCGACCAACAAGCAACTGTGACCCCCAGAACGCGGATCCCAGGCGGCGCAAACACCTGGCCCCACAGGAGTGCCACACTGCTCGGCGAAAAGGTCAGATTTCGCGGGGAGAGGGTGGAGCGCACTTGCGGCGAAAACAAAGCCTGCGCTCACAGAGCGCGCGGAAGCTGGAGGACAAGGGCGGTGATTACAAGTAGAAGCCCCAGCTGTTGGGCAAGTGTCACCCGTGAAAGTGGACGGGGCTCCTAACAGGGGAGATATCTAAAGAGCAACGCATTTGGTTCTGGCGCGGAGGGGTATCTGAGAGTTGCAGGAGATTGAGGTTGCTCGGACCTGCCCCCTCCCCCCTCCGTAGTTCCTGCTTCAGAGAGGACTGAAAAAAAAAAAAAAGCTGGAGAGGCTCTAGAGTCTGGGAAGTCAACCTAGAAACACTGCCCCCAGAGGCTAATTCACAAATTGACTCTAGTATAATAAAAACAAAGCAAAACCTGCCTAAAAATCAGGACTGGATCATAACAATAGAGGAAGCGAATGACCTTCATTACTGCAAATTTTATTTAATTTTTTTTTAATTTTATCACTTTTTTTAATTTTTAAATTTTTGTTTTTTATTTTTGTTTTCATTATTTGCAACGTTTACTCAAGAAACTATTTTTTTTTCTTTTTCCTCACTTGATTTTATCTTTATAATTACTACATTGTACTACTACTAAGTTACATTTTTCATCTTATTTTTTTTTGTTTATTTTTATTATTTTTATTTCATTTGATTATATATATATATATTTTTTATTTCAGGATTACTGTTCTACAGGCTTTATCTATCTTTCCTTCTCCAACGCTTTATTCTATCTCAACCTATCCTTTATGCCTTCACCCTCTTTCTGATATTTTCCTTTGGTACCCCTTTTATCTTAACCCTTTCCTGCTCTAGATTTTCCCCATTCCTTCTGTCTACCCCCTCCTAAAATTTCACCCTACTTCTATATATCTAATCTCCAACTACTTGCTCCGAGCCTATTCACACCTCCCTCGCAGTTGTCCTAAAAACAAAACAAAACAAAAGTCTTTCTCTCTAACACTTTGAAGTTGTATGTTGAATGTTAACTATACTGAAGTTGTATGCTTTTGTTTATAAGATTGATTTGATATGCTTATTGTTTGATTGTATGTTTTTGCTAGCTGGGTTCTAGTCACCCTTATTGGTGGTTATTAATATTTCAAACACATCCCGATTCAGTCCCCTGTGTGTTGTACCTGGTTGTGTTGTATTTGGTGTCTTTAAATCAAAGCAGGAGAGAGAGAACTACACAACCAGACATCCTAGATCATGGGGAGACCAAGACACAGCCCGCATATGAAAGAAAAGCAGGCCTCACCAGAAAAGGAAGTAAACGAGATAGAGGGAAGCAACCTACCAGAGCAAGAATTCAGAGTAATGATCATAAGATGGCTAAAAAGAATGGAAGACAAATTTGACAATATGAGTAAGAACCAAGAGGAAATGAAGAAGAACCAAGAAGAAATGAAAAATGACATCGCTACTGTAAAGAACTCAATAGAAAGCATCAAGAGTAGATTAGAAGAAGCAGAGGACCGCATCAGTGAGCTAGAAGACAAGATGGAAAAAAATACCCAATTAGAACAGCTTCTAGAAAAAAAAATTAAAAAACAGGAGGAAAGTCTAAGGGAACTCTGGGACAATACAAAACAAAACAATATTAGAGTAATAGGGGTTCCAGAAGGAAAGGGAATTGAGGAAGACATGGAAAACGTATTTCAAGAAATAATGACAGAAAACTTTCCTGAGATAGAGAAGAAAAAACCCACACAAATCCAAGATGCTCGCAGAGTCCCAAGCAAACTGAACCCCAGAAAATCAACCCCTAGACACATTATAATTAAGCTGGCAAACACCTACGACAAAAAAAGAATTTTAAAAGCAGCCAGAGAGAGACAGAAAGTTACATATAAAGGAACCCCCATCAGACTAGCAACTGATTTCTCCACAGAAACTTATCAGGCCAGAAGGGAATGGGATGAAATATACAAAGTCATGCAAAGGAAGGGTCTGAATCCAAGAATACTGTACCCAGCAAGGCTATCGATCAAAATTGAAGGGGAAATCAGGAGCTTCACAGACAAAAACAGACTAAGGGAATTTATCTCCACCAAACCAGCAATGCAAGAAATGCTAAGGGGTCTACTGTAAAATTAAAGAAATAGAAAGCAAAGAAGGAACACAGGGGTATAGAATAAAAATGGCGTCAAATAAGTATCTATCAATTATAACTTTAAATGTAAATGGACTAAATGCTCCAATCAAAAGACATAGGGTAACGGATTGGATAAGAAAACAAGACCCATATATCTGTTGTCTACAAGAAACCCACCTCAGAAAAAAAGATGCACACAGACTGAGGGTGAAGGGATGGAAAAAGGTTTTCCAGGCAAATGGAAATGAAAAAAAAGCTGGGGTAGCAATACTTATATCTGACAAGTTAGATCTCAGAGTGAAGGACATAACAAGAGATAATGAAGGCCACTTCATAATACTAAAGGGAGCAATCCAACAAGAAGAAATAACCCTGGTAAATATATATGCACCCAATATGGGAGCACCCCAATATATAAAAAAACTGCTGGAGGACATTAAGGGAGAGATTAATAGCAATACAATCATAGTAGGAGATCTTAATACCCCACTGTCACCCTTTGACAAGTCATCTAAACAAAAAATCAGCAAAGAAATATCAATCCTAAATGACTCGCTAGACCAGATGGAATTAATCGACATCTTCAGAACATTCCACCCCAAAGCCACAGAATATACATTCTTCTCAAGCGCACATGGGACATTCTCAAAGATAGACCACATTTTGGGATATAGGCAAAGTCTCTTCAAATTCAAGAAGATAGAAATCATATCAAGCATCTTCTCAGATCATAGTGGCATAAAACTGGAAATTAACTACAACGAAAAAAATCCAAAGAAATCAAACACATGGAGATTAAACAGCATGCTATTAAACAAGGACTGGGTTACCAGAGAAATCAAGGAAGAAATTAAAAACATCCTGGAAACAAATGACAATGAAAACACAACTATCCAAAATCTATGGGACACAGCAAAAGCAGTTTTGAGAGGGAAGTTTATATCCCTACAAGCCTATTGCAAAAAACTAGAAAAAAGGGTAACAAATGATCTAACTCTACAACTCAAAGAGTTAGAAAAAGAGCAACAAGAAAAGCCCAGTGTAAGCAGAAGGAAGGAAATAACAAAAATCAGAGCACAGATAAACGACATAGAGACCAAAGAAACAATACGTAAGATCAACAAAACCAAGAGCTGGTTCTTTGAAAGAATAAACAAGATAGATGGACCCCTATCCAGGCTAACCAAGAAACAGAGAGAGAGGACCCAAATAAACAAAATCAGAAACGAAAGAGGTGAAATAACAACAGATCCCGCCAAAATACAAATGATTGTTACAAAATACTACGAACAGCTCTATTCCAATAAACTGAACAACCTGGAAGAAATGGACATATTCCTAGAAAAATACAACCTTCCAAAACTCAATCAGGAAGAATCTAAAAATCTAAATAGACCAGTGACTTGGGAAGAAATTGAAACAGTCATCAAAAAACTTCCAGCAAACAAAAGCCCAGGGCCAGATGGCTTCACAGGAGAGTTTTACCAAACATTCAAGGAAGAACTAAAACCTATCCTCCTCAGATTATTCCAAAAAATCCAAGAGGAAGGAACACTTCCAAACTCCTTCTATGAAGCCAGCATCACCCTAATACCAAAACCAGATAAAGACAACTCAATGAAAGAGAATTACAGGCCAATATCCCTCATGAACATAGATGCCAAAATCCTCAACAAAATTCTAGCAAATCGGCTCCAGCAGAGCATCACAAAGATCATACACCATGACCAAGTAGGATTTATTCCAGGAATGCAAGGATGGTACAATATCCGCAAATCAATAAACGTGATACATCACATAAACAAGTTGAAAGATAAAAATCATATAGTCATATCAATTGATGCAGAAAAAGCATTTGATAAAATCCAACACCCTTTCCTGATAAAAACTCTCAACAAGGTGGGAGTACAAGGATCATACCTCAACATAATAAAAGCTATATATGATAAACCCACAGCCAACATCATACTCAATGGGCAAAAACTAAAACCATTCCCTCTAAGAACAGGAACAAGACAGGGATGCCCACTTTCGCCACTCCTCTTTGACATAGTACTGGAAGTACTAGCCATTGCAATTAGACAAGAGGAGGAAATAAAAGGCATCCAAATTGGAAAAGAAGAAGTAAAGCTATCCTTATTTGCAGACGACATGATATTGTACATAAAAAACCCAAAAGACTCCATTAAAAAACTAATTGGCTTAATAAATG